AATAGATATTAAAAAAAATAAAAAGAAAAAAGAAAAAAAAGGATGACAGCTTCTTTTTCCTATGGCAAATGGATAACAGCTTCTTTTTCTTTTTTTTCTTTTTTCTTTTTCTTTTTTTTTAATATCTATTTGTATTTATATTAAAGATGCCAGTGAAGGGACGAATTTACCCCTCAAAATCTCACGTACAAAGCACATGTTTTAACATTCCGGTCCAAATTGGCGGAAAATTGAGTTTAAGGGGCACCGTGCAATGAATTAACAAGTTCAGGTAAAAACGTGCAAATTTTGTAAGCTGGGGGGGCGCCGTGCAAAACAACCCAAAGTCCAGGGGGTAAAATGCTTTTTACCCTTTTAAATTTTTGGATATTTTGGATTCTCTTTTTGGCAGATTGGTAACCAGGATCCAGGTGTCCGGTTGGGCAGGAATTTTTGAAAAGTGGGAAACGTCGGCGTCAGGCTCGTGAAGACAAGGCGAACGGTGTCGTTTAGCGGTTCATCGATCTTTAATTTTTTTTTCTAATTAAATTAATTGTGTGATTAAGGAATTAATTGTTGTAGTTAATTACTTAATTTTTTGTTTATTGCAAAGAAGAGACAGGTGGTCATGGGTTGCAAACAGAAGTCTTCAAGTTGGTCGTTTTCAAATATGTTTTTTGAACTGTTTTAATTTACTGTTTATTATTTTTTATTTATTATTTATTATTCTTAAGGCAAAAGAGATGTTGAACTGTCAGATGTAGTTTTTATTGTTGATTTAGGTTTGAATTAATTAATTAATTATTTAATGTATTTGAATAAATAAATGCACTAGTATTAAAGTAGTATTAAACAAAGGTTTAAAGTGAGATTAAAAGGGGCCTTTACAAGTGGAGGTCCATGTATCATATATGCCACATGCTACATGTTATTTTTCTTTTACAAACTTTGGTATAATAACTTACAAATCATACGAGATACCTAAATAATATTAGGTATCTGATGTACGATATACAAAATGGTGTTTGTAATTCTTTTTTAGGAAATATAATTAGGTGATTGTAAATTAAATTTAAGATACTTATTTATTTTTTAAATCGGAGGTTTTTGTAAAAATTGTGAAAATTTAGTTATAAATTTACCGGTTGACGCATTTGCAAAATAAGCTTTAAAATTTCAAATTGTTACATAGTGCAATTATCTCAAATATCATTTATAAACTGATTTCCGTTTTCCTTAATATTGATGAGCCCAAATGATCTGGACTGGTTTAATTAAGTTGTAGGCTTGCACTGGTAAATTGGGGCTTGGCCCAATTCATGACATAGTATATGGATTATTATTAATAAAAATTTTAATTGTATTAATTTTTATTTATTATTATTTTTTAATATATTTCTTAAATTAGTAAGCCAAAAGAAAAGAAAGGTTGAGAGCACCGCGTGACTTCAGTCTTTAGACAAAAGTTGCAGCAATTAATAAGTTCACTACATTTGTCAAAAAGACCAACATCCAACCTTTATTTTCCACTCGTATTAATTAATTTTCGGTAAAATTATCTACTGCCTTATGTAATTCAAGAAAAATAAAATATGCTTATTCGGTTCAACTCAATCCTAACAAATTAAAAATTATGCTATTAAGTTATTCTTTGTGGAATTTATATAGGCTAAATAGCACTTAATACCTCTATGAAGTAATATTTTAATATTTTGCATGTGACCCTCTTGTACGTTTAATATAATGGCTCGTTTGACTAAACTTATTTTAAATAGTGGGACATGCTCTTATATTTGATAAGTAGTTTTAAGAGTTGGTAAGTTGTGACGCCTTATTTTTATAATTAATTTTAAAGTTTTTGAATAATGTTCTTGTGCGATAGTTTTTACTGATTATAAAATCTTAAATAAAATGTGGGATAAATGTTATTTTGTTTTAACAAAAAAAAATCTTATTTGATCTCTAAAAACTTATTTTTCGAATTTTAATAATCGTTTGAAATTATCAAACACTTTGGAAAAGCTCTTAAATATTTTATAATTTTTTTTAGCACGTAATACACACAAATCACAATCACAATCACAAAGTTCGGATTCTCCAAAGAATTAAACCGAGTGCCATGCCATGAAATGTATGCATATATGATATACATACAAAGCCACACATAAAAAAATCCGTATAACTCCAAAAATCTCATGCAGATATTACATCACTAATCTACGTTTTGTCAATTACACGTGCATGTTTTTTATTTAATGTTTCACAAAGCCATAACTTAGGAGCATCCTCTAAACCTAGAAAACTATGTACTATATTATTATTATTAATTTAATTAAATATACAAAAAAAAAAAAAAAAAAAAAAAAACGATTTTTCCTAAGCTCAAATCCCTCATCAGTCATCAACCAGGACATAATAAATTAATAAATAAATAAATAAAAAACAAGAAATGGCGAAGCTTGAAATAACAGATATCCAGAAGCTGTCATATTAATTAATTAATTAGTTAAAAAAAAAAAAAAAAACGAGGCGTCAAACATTAATTTCATCATCGTTCTTACAGACCCAAAATCCTTTTTGTCCCTTTCTTAACTACACTCATCAATGCCCTGGAATCCATTTTCTTTCTTTTCAAACATGTATATATATATATATATATATATATATATATATATATCTATATATGTATGTATATGTGTATGTATATCTATGTCTATATATAATCATCAACTTTAACTTGGAACAACCCAGCTCCTAACAAACATTTCATTTCTGTTTTTAACATTTTCAGAAAAAAAAAATATACATATATATATATATAACATTAATACAAGTGATTGATAATGGCGACGGCGGCGAGTTTTCCGGCGATCGGCGACTGCGCTTCGACCGGAAGAGAGAAGGACGCGGTTGTGGCGGACATGGACGGGACTCTTCTGAGAGGGAGGAGCTCGTTCCCTTACTTCGCGCTGGTGGCGTTCGAGGTCGGCGGATTCCTCCGCCTCCTCTTCCTGCTGCTGCTGGCGCCGCTCGCCGGAGCTCTATACTACTGCGTCTCCGAGTCCGCCGGAATCCGGGTCCTCATCTTCGCGACGTTCGCCGGAATGAGGGTTTCGGACATCGAGTCGGTGGCGAGGGCGGTGCTGCCAAAGTTCTACTCCGGCGACCTCCACCCGGAGTCGTGGCGGGTGTTCTCGTCGTGCGGCGGGAGGCGGTGCGTGCTGACGGCCAATCCGCGGATTATGGTGGAGGCGTTTCTGAAGGAGTTTCTTGGGGCGGATCTTGTGTTGGGGACGGAGGTTTCCACGTACGGCGGGAGAGCGACGGGGTTCGTGGAGGCGCCGGGGGTTTTGGTTGGGGAGAATAAAGCCGACGCGCTTAAGGCGGCGTTCGGGGAGGCGCCGCCGGAGATTGGATTGGGTGACAGGCATACGGATTTTCCGTTCATGAATTTGTGCAAGGTTTGTGTATTAGTAATTGTACCTTTGCCTTCGTATATTTAATGTTATTATCCATAAAAAAAAAACTATCTTTAATATTATAGTGCAATTAATTTGTTAAACAGATAATTATGTGTAATTAATTCACACGAACAATAATTACTCATTAATCCGAACTATTTCCATTTTGGAAAAATATTTTTCATTACAATTTTTCTAATACATATTTCTAATTTTCTTTAAATATTTTTAAAAGTTTCGATAATTTTTTGAAAATTATATTTATAATATCAATATTATTACTTATTTATATTATGGTGATAAGAAATGGAATTTATGAATTCCCATGATTCCGATAAAACAAATATTTGATTAGGAAACAAGTTTAATTTTTCATTCTCCGATTTTTTTGATTTTTCGATATTTTTGGAACGGAATTTGAATTAGTTTTCGACTTCCGGACATAAAAAATGGACTTTTTCTGAAAGTATAATTACCTATCCAATTTCCACCATAATCTTTACAAATATTTTAAAGTAAAATACTTGATACAAATAAAATAAAATATTAAAATTACATAGTAAAATGAGTTTAGTAGTTTACTATTACATGGGTGTGAACGAGCCGAGATCGCCTGTTTTGGCAGACTCAAATCAAGTTCATTTTGTCGACCTCGCGGTCGTTGATTTTTTTTTTTGTCGAACTCGAGCCCAAGCTCATTTTGGTTTTTTTTTATTATTAAATAGATTATAATAAAAAAAAATTACAAAATAACATATATTTTTTTTATTTATATGTTTTTTCTATATTATTTCTTTAATATTTAATATTATTATATATTATTCAAATAAAAAATAATATATATAAAAAAAAATATAATAAATAAGGCTCGCGAGCCAGCTCGTTAACTCACATGAATAACTAAAAAAAACCACGAGCTCGTCAGAAAGCTCGGGGTCAAAAACCACCCCTAGTTCACTAACTCTAATAAATTGAAGTTGATTTGTTTTTTTTTTTTTTGAAAGAATAAATTGAAGAAGTAATTAAATAAAATAATAATAAAAATAAATGCAGGAAGGTTACATAGTGCCAGCAAAACCAGAAGTAAAGGCGGTGACAGTAGACAAGCTCCCGAAGCCGATCATCTTCCACGACGGCCGCCTTGTCCACAAGCCCACCCCCTTTCTCGCTCTTCTCACTCTCCTCTGGATTCCCGTCGGCTTCCTCCTCGCCTGCCTCCGCATCGCCGCCGGCTCCCTCCTCCCCATGCCTCTTGTTTACTACGCCTTCTGGGCACTCGGCGTCCGCGTCACCGTCAAGGGGACCCCTCCGCCGCCCGTCGACAAGTCCTCCGGCAAGTCCGGCGTCCTCTTCATCTGCTCCCACCGCACCCTCCTCGACCCCATCTTCCTCTCCACCGCCCTCGGCCGCCCCATCCCCGCCGTCACCTACTCCGTCTCCCGCCTCTCCGAGATCATCTCCCCCATCAGGACCGTCCGCCTCAGCCGCGACCGCGCCACCGACGCCGCCATGATCAAGAAGCTTCTCAAGGAGGGCGACCTCGCCATCTGCCCGGAGGGCACCACCTGCCGGGAGCCGTTCCTCCTCCGGTTCTCGTCGCTGTTCGCCGAGCTGACCGACGAGCTGGTGCCGGTGGCGATGGTGAACCGGATGAGCATGTTCCACGGCACGACGGCGCGTGGGTGGAAGGGGATGGACCCTTTCTACTTCTTCATGAACCCGAGCCCGGCTTACGAGGTGACGTTCTTGAACAAGCTGCCGAGCGAGCTGACTTCCGGAGCCGGCGGGAAATCCAGCCACGAAGTCGCGAATTATATACAGAGGGTGATAGCGGCGACGCTGTCTTACGAGTGCACGTCTTTTACGAGGAAAGACAAGTACAGAGCTCTGGCTGGAAACGACGGCTCGGTGGTGGACAAGCCGCGGCTCAAGCCGAGCCAAGTCATGGGATGCTGACTATGATAGCCTCCAAGCCGAACCAAGTCATATATACAGACTCTTGTTTTGTTGTTAATTATCAAATTTTCTTTTTTCTTTTTTTAATTGTCGAATTTTAATACTGAATAAATTGTATTATTCACTTGTTGTCCAGTTAATTAATGGGCCTAATTATAAACACGTTTTTACGTTACCAATTGAATTTATTTTCATCTTGTAAGTAACAACGAAAAAAGCGTGTGGAGTAAAAATAGTTAATTAGTCCCTAGTTTAAAGGAGTGCTTAATTAAGTAAAATAAAATAGTTAAATCAGTTATTACACGTGTCATGCATTCACTGGAATCCGATTTTCACCTCCGTCCCATCTATCTTTACAACCAAACAAGGCACTAGGGACCCGACCCGACCCGCAATTTTCTGACCCGTTCATCATCGCCATGCATGGGTCTGCATTCTGCAATAACAGAAAAAGTGAATTTCAAATCACATGAATTTTTCACCCCCACTCGATCGCCACCTTTACATTTCCATTTCTCCGCCGTTGTTTCTCCATCGGAGCTTGAAATTAATCACAGAAGATCGATTTGATAAAACAGTAAGAAAGGGGGAGAAAAAATAAGAATGGAAAAAGGGTCTTTCTCGTCGAGTAAAGGATCCGACTCGGCCGATTTCGAGGCCGAGTTGACCCTGAGCGACAAGCTCAAAGTCTTCAAAACCTCCAATTTCGATCCCCAGAATTATGTCACCAACCACTGCGGTGCCATGAGCGAAAAGGTCTGCTTTTATTTCTTTATTTATTTTTTGATTATCATTTAATTTAATAATATTTATGGCTTTGGCATATTTCGAGTGTATGTACATTTGAAGATCATGCACACGCATTAATTAAGAAGAATGGAATTAAATGCTAGCTCAAGTTGATGATTGTTTAATTTGTAAAGCATGTTCAAGTAGATTTAGGATTTATGGATTGTTGATTGCAATGTGTTCGAGCATATGTTTCTGTGGGAGTAAGAATCCGAAAAACAGAGTTTACGTTTATGCGATGAGGTAAAACGAAGTTATCGAATTTGCTCGTTTTTCGGCAGGAAATTAGGCACCTATGCATTTACCTTGTGGGCTTGAAGAAGGCCTCTGCGGAAGAAATGAGAAAGAGTGTTTATGCCAATTATGCATCATTCATAAGGTGAGTTGTGGTTTTAGAAAAAGCAGTTATATAGCTGCATTTTTTCTTGTTAATTTGCTTGTGCTTCCTTCTTCCTATTTCGAGTTCGGTGTTCGTAGTTAAGCTATTGCGATTATTTCCTCAACTTATGGCTTCTGATTAGCGAAAGTTTGATTGGAATAGTCGAAATTAATTGAAATCAAGAATGGAAGTGAAGGTATAACAGAGTTGTTATGGAGAATTTGGTTCAAACATGATATTATGATATTTGTATTCATTTCAGAACATCAAAAGAAATTTCCGATCTAGAAGGAGAGCTAGTCTCCTTAAAGAACCTCCTATCTTCGCGCGCAAACATTATCCACGACATAGCAGACGGTGTTCAAGTAGAATCGCTCCACGACGGAACCGACCAATCAAGAGACGACTCATCCACCGTAGATTTCGAAGACAGAGAGCCCACAAACTTCGATCAATGGCTCTCGAAATTCACCGAGAATCTCGAAGTCCTATTGGCCGAGAGAAGAGTCGAAGAAGCCCTATCCGCACTTGACGAAGCCGAAAACGTAGCAGCACAAGACCAACTAACCCCCACAGCACTCCTCTCTCTCCAAAACTCCATCATGGAAAACCGGCAGAAACTTGCCGACCAATTAGCAGAAGCCACCTGTCAGCCCTCCACAAACGGCTTCGAGCTCCGCTCCTCTGTTCAAGCAATGAAACGGCTAGGCGACGGCCCACGAGCCCACACCTTACTACTAAAGTCACACCAGCAAAAACTGCAGAGGAACGCGCAGTCTATTAACCCTTCGAGCGCTGCTTACGGCACTGCATACACAACCGCACTTTCGCATCTCGTTTTCTCAACTATAGCCCAAGCAGCAAATGATTCTTTATCTATATTCGACGACGAACCAGCTTTCACCTCTGAGCTGGTCACTTGGGCTGTAAATCAAACTCAGGCGTTCGCACAGCTTCTCAAGAAAAACGTTGTGGCTGCCCCTGCAGCATCTGGTTGTTTAAGGATAGTTACTGAGTGTGTTCATGTCTGCTTAGGGCATTGCTTGTTGTTAGAAGACCGTGGATTGGCGCTTTGTCCGACATTATTGAGAATCTTTAGGCCGTTTTTGGAACAAGCACTTAATGCGAATTTGAAAAGAATCGATTTAAGCACCGCTGCTATTGCAGCTTCTGATGATTGGTCGCTGTCTTATCCGCCTGTTGCTGGCCGTGGGTGGGGCGCTGCAGCTGCTTCTGTTACTAGTGTGGTGGCTTCCCAGCAGAAGCTTTCGAGCAGCGCTCATAGATTCAATACTATGATTCAGGTTAATAAAATTGAATCTTTTTTTTATCGAGGATAATAGCATTGTACCGCCTAAACTTTTTCACTTTTTGCGGATTGCCACCTGAGGTCCTGAACTCGATTATTTATGCCACGTTGCCATCTCTAACTCATTTTCAGGCCAAAACGGCCGTAATTAGACGCATGCGCGTTGCACATGCGAATTGGAAGGACATTTTCGTCTTTTCAATTTCCTGAGCACTAATTTACCAATTTTCGCTCCATTTTTTCTATGATGAAGATGATGATGATGATTTGGTGGAAGAAGAAGAAGAATCTAGCGAAACAGAGGAAGGCTCATCATTGAAGATGAAAAAAACATCAACAAAACCTTAATCCCAGCTACAAAATCTGACTCAAAACCAATTTCCCTAGATGATGGGTCGGATTCTGACCTGGTTTGGATGGATCCCCTCTGATTACAATCTGCACATCTCTGAAACGGGTCGACTCAAATTTCGATATTGCGGCTTTTACCTTTTGACTGAAGGGAAGTTGCAGGTGGATTTCTCAAGGGGTAAGCTGAAAACCAAGATTAGTAGAAAACAAGAAAAACTGAAGAAGATAAGAAATGATGCTGAGTGCAGAAACAGAGAGAAGTAAGGAAGGAGGGAAGAATTGAAGATGTAAGGAAGGACATAAGGAATGGAGGAAAAAAATTGGGCCAAAGTAGGCATTTTAACTTGAAAAGACGAAAATGCCCTTCCAATTCGCATGTGCAGCGCGCGTGCGTTTAATCCCGGCCATTTTGGCCTGAAAATAAGTCAGAGATGGCAACGTGACACAAATAATCGAGTTCAGGTGGGATTGTGCAAAAAAAGTTGTTCAGGTGGCAGTCCACAAAATTTGAAAAAGATTAAGCGGTAAAATGTTATGTGTGTGTGTGTGTGTGTCTATATGCATAGACTCTCACTTCTGAAGTCAAAATTACCAGGAGCTGTGTGAGGATATTGGCTCTCTCGAGATCCTGCAGCTATCCGAACAAGCTTTGGAAGGCGTTCTTCAATCGTTCAACTCCTACGTGAACATGATGATAAACGCGTTTCCTGGTTCGGTAGAAACCGAAAACTTGGAAGGTTCCGGAAGGAGGATAGTTAAAATGGCCGAGAGTGAGACACAGCAGATCGCCTTGATGGCGAACGCGTTGTTATTGGCCGACGAGCTTCTTCCTCGAGCAACAATGAAGCTTTCGTCAGGTAATAGAAGTGATGTTGACCAGTCAAGGAGAGGCTCGGACAGGCAGAGCCGTATGCCTGAGCAGAGAGAACTGAAGAGAAGGCTTCAACGGCTGGTTGATCAGCTGAGAGATAGCTTCTGCCGCCAGCATGCACTTGAGCTTATATTTACCGAAGATGGCGGCGTTCGATTGAGCGCTGACATGTACTTGAGTATGGATGAAGGGAGAGAAGAACCCGAATGGTTTCCTTCTCCTATTTATCAGGTCATTCCAAAAAAAAAAATCAGTGTTTTTATTGTCCAAATTTTGTCCTAACAAGATTAAATTGGAAAAAAAAAAAAAAACATTATTTCAGGAATTGTTTGTGAAGTTGACTAGTATAGCAAGTATTGCATCTGATATATTCGTGGGAAGGGAAAGATTTGCCACTATTCTCTTGATGAGATTTACAGAGACAGTGATATTATGGTTCTCCGACGATCAAAGTTTCTGGGAAGAAATCGAAGCTGGTGAAAGGGCGTTAGGACCACTCGGGCTTCAACAGGTTTTTTTTTTTTTTTTTGTTTTTGTTTTCTGATCAAGATTTTCCGACACTTAACATAGACACAAAGAATCTGAACATTTTTGGTGCAGTTTTATTTGGATATGGAGTTTGTGATACTTTTTGCGTCTCAAGGGCGTTACTTGTCTCGAAATCTGCATCAAGTGATGAAGAACATTATTGCAAGAGCCATTGAAGCAGTTCAGGCAAATAATATTGATCCATACAGGTAATTTTTTTTTCTTTTTTTACTGTTTTTCCTATTGAAGAATTTAAAGACTTCAAATTTTTCATTTAAATTTATTGATTTTGCAGTGTGTTGCCTGAGGATGAGTGGTTCGCTGACGTGGCGCAAATCGCGATAAAAATGCTGACGGGGGAAGCCAGTTTCGAACATGCTGAGAGGGATATGAACAGTCCAACAGCATCAGCAAGATCTCCATCATCTGCCCATTCTCCTGGAAGTGCATAGACAGTTTCAATTTTAACTTTACCTTAAAAAAATTGTACTCAAGTTCAATCGAGTTTCGACATACATTAATCGAACCAAATACGAGTTGCACGATTCTTTTATTCATATTTATGTCGTGAACCAAACTCAATTTCAATTAGCTTTCAGTGGTCAATGCCGATCGCCATGATTACATTGGTCGAAGTAAAAATTCTTGGATATATATGTTTTTGAGTACTAGGATTATTCGGAAATTTAATTTTCGATATTCATTATATAGGACCCTGGGGAATAGAGCTTCATCAAAAGCTGCATATATAATATTCTGATGCTTACATCTTTGGTATGCAAACAACCCATTCAAAGGGTTTATTCAGTAAACACAAGTTGTTGATAATTCGAATAATCAATCTCGTTCAACCGTATACAACATAGTATCTGCTCTGGCAACTCTTCAGCTTTGTTACCCTGCAAAGTTTCACGAACCGAAGCATGCATTATTAACATTTTGTATATCTCAACCAAAAAAAAAACACGAAATTGAAAAATCAAAACATTCAACTCGCCTGAATCGTTAATCCGAAATCCAGGACACACAGCTTTAGCCTGTCCAAGAATGTCTCGAACCCTTTTCTTGATATGTAACTGAATCTATGCATGTCCAAATCTATTTCAAAATAATTCTCACCCTGCAAAGAAAAAATTGAAAAAAAAAAACGAACATTTCTAATCAGCAAAAGCATATACAATATAATCCATAAATACAGATCAAACGTCAAACTTACAGAGTAAAATTGATGTTGAGGGCGAGAAAGAACGGGTTTTTCATTGTACGCGTGCATGAGCTTTCTCTCAGCAGCACTTAGAGGCAAGTCCTCTACATTCGATACACGCCCCAATATTTTCAACCTCTCCCTAAAAGGCGCAACCGTTTCTAGAGGAAAGCCTTTGACTTTTTCTACTTCGTCTTCGATTAATCTCTGTAATTGGTTATGACAAAAAAAAATACATATATCTTAATTTTTTTATATACAAATGTCGACTCTAAAAAATATTCACAAACAAAAACAAATTCACCGTTCGCTCACCCTAATATTTTCTTGAAAACGGGTCGAAAGTTCTTTGGCGTAATTTTCAGAAAGCTTAAAGTACAAAACAAAGTTTATTCCTTCTCCGTCTGTTTCACCCTGAAAAAATGCTGCAGGATACAACGGCATCTGTAAGACCAGAAAAACAAGCCAACATCACTATAAAGAGTACAAAAAATATATTTTCTTGAATTATTATTAATTAATATTTTTGTGATTATAATAATACAAAAAGGGCTTAAACAGCACGTCACCACATTATTGTATACGTATTTTGGAGATATAAAAAGGACTATTCATTTAACGTGTGCATTAGCAGTAGTACCTGAACATTTACAACAAGAATCGGTGGAAGTTTCCCGGAAGAATTAATAATCGGAAGTTGCACAAATCGAGCAATGTGATCGATTTTCCTCTGCGATAAAAATACATCGAGGCCAAAAGGGTTATATGCAGCACAATTCGGAGCAAGGTCCTTCTTTTTATCCCTGCACAACAAAATACGCAAGCACAAAACTTAAGTAAATACATAGACAAGTACAAGAAATAAGATTGATATTCGAGATTCGGGAAAACAAAAGATTACAGTTACGTCACCTGAAATAATTCACCCCTCTGACCTTGAAACTCCCCGCCTCAACGTCCGACCAACTATCAGGCATTCTCTTCCCCAAGGGGCAAAACGGTACTTGCGAACCAGCTATAGGTCTTTGCAGAAACGCCTTCGATGAAACTACAAATTACGAAAAAAAAAAAAAAAGAGAGGAGATATATTTCATGTTTTGCCATTTCACAAGAAGTTACGTATACGTACAACAAAAAAAATTATTACACACTCACGTAAAGTGGCAACGGGATATTCTTCCCGCCATCTAAACGAGAGTTTCTTCTTTCTAATACTCGGAGGGCTAGAGCTGAGCGATCTTCTCTTTTCGACAGGTGGCACGGTAGAAGCTAGACAAGGCAAACAATTATTCGGGATGATTCCACAATTATCCAATATACTTTCTCCACCGCCATTTTCACCCGAAGAGGTCGATATATCATCAAGAAACACGGGTAGATTTGGATGAACCGAGCTTTTACTAGCTGCTTCGCTAACTGAATTACGAGTCGATGAGCCATTTACAGAGATCACATCTAAAATAATTGAAACAAAAAATAAAAAAACCATTATTTATTTGAGTATAGGTAGTGGAAAAATCGAATGCATTTCGAAGGTGGATACCGTCGGGGAGGCTTTGGAAGTCTTCGTCACTCCAGTCGGATTCGAGCACTGCAGCTGAATCGAACCATGCTTCCTCCACACTTCCTATAGATACATATATATATGTGTATATATAAGAACTCATTCAACAACTTCAGAATATAGATTAATTAAAATGCAGATCTAAATACCATCCAAGTGCAAATCAAGATTCATCAAGATGCATTCTTTCACACACACACACCACACACTAACACACACACACACACACACACACACAGAGAGAGAGATATATATGAACCGTGAAAAGTGGGGTTAGAGAAGGGGCGATCGACGGGCAAAGATGAAAGCTTGTCGACTGTATCTGATGATCGATTGGACCTTCGTTTAAAACCCTTTGTTCTATTTCTACTCTTCTTCTTTCTCGAACCACCTAATTTACCGCCGACGCAATTCTCCGGCCGTGAAACGCACGCCCCCATCGCCAACAAACAAGATCGGACCTCGATACAAATCTAGAGAGAGAGAGACAAGGAAAAAACCATTCTAGAGAGATAAATATCAAAATACCCTCCTCTCTCTCTCTCAATTCCAATAAATAGATTACTAATTCTTCGCCATTAATCTCTTCTCTATCCACAGAGATTCACGAAATCAATCAATACCCTTTAATTATTAATAATTAATAAAAGATTAAAATGTATGTATGATTTACAGAGCTCACTCAGAGGGGAATTCAACAGCCCAATTTAATGAAATCGGAAAGCAAAAAATTAAAAAAGTATTGGGCATTGAATTGAATTGAAATCATTAAAAGAAGGAGACGAAGAAAAAAAAAGATAAACGAAAGGGTTGACGCCTGGCTGGCAGGTGGGAAAATCTGGGGTGACACGTGTCGGGAATGTAAGGCGTCGAGCGTGTGGGAATAGAGACCGCAAGTTCGTACGTGTGACCAGAGAGAGATCTTTGCGTCGCTGTCTTTTTAACTTCCAAAACCTCAGCTGTCAGACTACAAACTTTTAAGGCTGTGTTTGGCATTTAAGTTTTTTCAGAATTTTAAAATAAATATATGCGTGTGTGTATATATGTATTAATTAATTATATTAATTAAGATATTTTAAAATATTTTTTTGGAAAATAAATTAATGTTTATATTTTAGTGAATACATTTATTACACTTGACAATTAGGCCATTTATTTCAATGCCAAATCAATCGACTTGTCAAACTCGTTAGGGCATGTTTGGCATGTAGGAATGAGTAAGAATTGCTTTTAAGGTGATTCCAAAATACATCTTTAGTATGTTTCAATGAAATGACTAATACCAATTCAGTTAAATCTCTATAAATCAATACAGTCGAGACTAGAGAAATCCAACCACTTATTAATTATTTATAAAAAATAATATTATAGTAATTGGTATTTTTATTTATGTATATTTTTTAATTTTCAAAAATCTGAAAAAAAAATCAAATATATTTGATTTTTAAATTAATTTTTAATAATGAAAATGGACAAGATATTATTAGACAGGCTGGGTTTTGCCTATTAAAGAGATTAGACAAGAGTGGGTTTTCGATGTTTCACCATTTGTCAAGTTATTTAAACCCAACCACCAAATAATAATGTAGTATAATTTGTTGATGAACATAGATAAAATTTAAAATCAATATTTATCATTGTTCAGATGTAACATCATTGAACTTCTTGAAAGATGTGATGTTATATTCTTACAGTATCTCCCAAGTTTATTGAGTCGATGTCTATCTAAAATCTGAATGCTCGACCTGATTTTATTTTAGTCGAATTTAATTGTTTATGAGTCGGTCGAATTTGAGTCATTCTATTGAACTCCGTAAACTTATGAGTTTAGTTTGCGCTTGAGCCCAATTAAACAAATAATTAAAATATTTATTAAGCTTAATATTCGACATATTTATTAATATTTAATTTTTATTAATATAACAATAATCAACAAAAGCACAAATGAGTGAGAATTCGAACTTGCATTCACCAATTCAAGTTATTTCCAAGTTAATATTAAAAATACTTAAAAGAATTCAAAAGTTTTTTAACATAATAAATATTTATGTTTTCCATTGATTTGAATAATTTTAAATATTTATTTGTTTGGAAGCGTTTTGGATCTTATTTTGATTTCATTTTGAGGAAATGTGTTTTGGGGGAATAATTTGAGAATGAAAGTAATGTTTGTTTGTATTTTGGAAGGAGACAAAATACACTGTAGCAGTCAAATCATGTTTAAATGTGTTAGAAAAAGGTATTTTTGAAGAAAAAAATTGAAAGATGAAGTGATGTTTATTTGTTTTTTAGTGAAGACATTTTTTACTATAGCAGTCAAATCATTTTACTGTAGCAGTCACATCATGTCTGAAGGAGAGAGAAACTTTTGAAATTGTTTTGAGAAAATGATTTGAAAAGTGTAATAAATCCCATTTTATTTTGGGGAAACAGTGAAAAAAAAAAACAAAATGCATCCAAACATAGGAATTTCCTTGAAATCCCATATACACCAGCAGGCCCAATATTGGAAAACCTAATTTGATTTTCCACGTGTACTATAGGTTAAATTATTTGGGCTATTCAATTGTGGGCTTTATTTGTAGTGGGCTGTGAAAAAGGAACTTCTCAACACTTTTCATTGTGTTTCATATGGGCTTTAGCCCAGTCAATAAATAAAGACTCTCAAACAAATATAAACAATTCGAACGTTTTTATTAAGACTGTTTCTTTAAATTAATGGACGAATTACGGGCAACCCTTGATGACAGAATTATGAAAAAACACCTTTTATTTAGGTAATTTCAGTTACCCCTCCTTAAAATGTTTTTATCGAACCAAATTATATATTTAGTTCGGGTATTATTAAATGTTGGTGTACCGAAATTTCGGTTCGATTTTACCGAATTAACATCCCTAAATTTACCAATGGAGGGTCTTTTCGTAAGATAATACATAGTTGAGGGAGTCACTGTAATTACCCAAACATGGAAGGCGTTTTCGTAATTTGATCATAACTCAGGGGTGACCATAATGTGCCCTAAATTAATTGATTTTGAGGCGATTTATCTGTCGATGGCCGTTGTATTCTGGGCTATAAATGCATGCTTTAGTGAGAGAGTAGTGATAACACACATAAGAGTCATCCTTCTTCGTTTTCGATGTCAATTCTGTCGTGAGTGAGGGATACATTGTATGTCTGTGAGAGAAAAATCTGAGTGATGTAGAATGTGTTAGTCAGAATGAAGGGGCCTTGAGAATAGATATAACGTCTGAGAGTTGGGTCTATGGTGAGCAGAGTGTCATTCTGTGCGTTTGACACCTTCTGGAATTGTCAACATTTAATTTTCTGAACGTGGATTGAATTATTGAGGACTGATCCGTTGTTGAACAATAACAACTCCGATCCACATGTCGGAGTTACTTGTGTGCGTTCTCTCTATTGCCCTATTTTATATTTAGAGGGTGTTTGGCTAAGCTTATTTTAAACAGCTGATAAGCTCCTACATCTGATAAGATGTTTTAAGAGCTGATAAGCTGTTACATCTTATTTTTAGGATTAATTTTTAGAGTGTTTGGATAATGGACTTATTTCCTATTTTTACTCATTAAAAGATCTTAAATAAAAAGGTGGGGTAGAGGTACTTATTTAAAAAGATCTTATTTGCTCTCCAACAGCTTATTTTAAAAAAAATTAAGATCTTTTTCTAAAAATTTACCAAACACTTTGGAAGAACTTATAAGCTCTAAAACATCTTATAAGCTCCTTTTAACATCTTATAAACTTAGCCAAACACCCTCTTAGTATATATATTCTATAATCCTTAATTCCCTTTCCCATATGTTCTATTATGTAATAGTTTATTCGATTTGATATTATAAAAACCTATGCTAAATTCAAACGAGTACTCAACATGTTTCAAATTCACAATAACAAGTTCATCGATATAGATTGCAATTTAATCATGCTACAATGAATACAACTCTAAAAATTTAAGTGTTTTCCTAGTAGCTGCGGTACGGTAGATTTCAATTTCTTCCATTCGACTTCGATCATTTCAAATTCATTCATTTTAAATCCTTCGACGGTTTTGCATTTCGAAACTAATATGCCATATAATGGTGAATATTCAAACCCTCTCTCTCTAGAAGTATCATATCATAATCACATAATAATGTCCACATATATCATTATATAAATTAATAAAATATGAATATTCTCTCAATTCCAATTCCAATTGCTAATAATTAGTTTTCCCTACATATATATATATATTAATTAATGTTTATATGGGTCCAATGGAGGACAATCTCCGTATGCCTTATGTCTGGCATTAGACAAAACTGGTGTTACTGGTTCAACAAGAATCTTTAATGCCAGATTTCAAAACTCACTACTACAAATCTACTCATTATAATTATATCACTAATTCAATACAGCGTATACATAATTTAATTATTAAAAAAAAAAAAAAAAAACTGGTAATGAGTAAAGACTATTGGGGGCAAATTAAGGCCACTCCATAAAGTAGGTCCAAATTATGATTTTTTTTTCATGTTTGGATAATTACAATCACCTCCCTCAACTATATATTGTCTTAAAAAAAATTCTTATTCAGTTGGTAATTATCCAAAAATGAAAGGGTTTTTCAAAAAACACTGCTTCGATGAGAACCAAAACCGAATAAAACCCCACCATTTGATTAGATATATATAAAAATAAATAATTTACATAAATCACCTAATAATTGAAGAAGGAAACAACCAATCAATTATACAAAATTAATCCAGCAGAAAAAAGTGGGGCAAATTTTAGGGTTTGCTCAGACTTAGCTGTAATTGTCTGCAAAATTTGGGGTCCTTAGAAAATATTTCAACATCAATTCTCATTGCGTTTGGCAACCTATCTCACATCAAACTTTTGTTCCTTTGTTTTGGAAGTACAATCCTTTTTTGTTTGATACGTTTAATTGATTGTACTGTTTATCTAATTCCATTAATTATTATTATTATATATCATTGGACCCAAAAATTAAAAATTAAAATTAAAATCCAGTTAACACAGTTAGGTTTAATTCAATGAATTCAGGACGATCTGGTGAGCTTATACTACCAGTGGGGTAACTTATAAATTCTGAATTTTGTTTTTTCATTTTTTTATATAATAAATAAAAATTATAAAAAGAATTCCAGATGGAGTTAGAAAACAATTTGAGAAAATGTAATATATCCAATTGCAATAACAATTCTGAAAAACTATCACATGTTATGTTTTTCGAATGATAACGATCTGATAGAACAGTTAACACAAACACAGACTTACGTGCACTTGTTATGTATGTATCGTTTACCACAATTGTGTGTGTGTCATATGGCTAATTTATAGTAAAAGTTAGAAACTGTCCTAACACACGCAATTGAAAATTTCGACCGAAGGAAGTGTACTTCATATATACTCGAATCGAGATCGTTCGTTAGCATCTTGTTTGAGCTTGATTTGTTGATATCAAGAACCAAGTTTGGACGCGTATGTATATTCTCGTTGCGTAGACTATGAAGTTCGGATTGAACGATCCAATTGATTAGAAAAATTAATATGTGTACAAAAAATTAAGGCTGGACGTTAGTCGATTTTAACAGACTAATGTATAAATGAGTAAATTGATGGTTTTCAGTTTACTCAAAAGTCAGTTCGCCGATATTACTGACTCACCGACTTTTTTAACAATAAAAATTTATTATTAATATTTACTTATAATTCTAATTTTTAAAGATAAAATAAAATATATAAAAGAAGTTATAACTAAAAAGGATATAATAAAAATTTATAGACTCCACGTACTATTTTTATTTTAGGGTAAATTACAAACACTCCCTGAGGTATGGTCAATTTACGAAAAAATCCCTCTTGTTTGGATAATTACATCTATTCCTCAACTATAATTTTTTCTACACCTCCACCCTTATGGTGTCAAATTCAACTTAATCATCTAGATCATGTGAAATGTGCTATAGTTTATACTCGTTTTGTGTAGAAATACAATTTATGATGCACCACAATCTGATATATACAAGCAAAAAAACTCATTATGATCATCTTGCTTCAAAACGTAGAGTTCCAATAAGATAAAACGGGTACAAAAGTGATAATATTTTATATAATCTCGAAGATTCCACTAAATTTGATGAGTTGAGGGGGTGGTTGTAATTATCTTAACAAGAAGGGGTTTTTTGTAATTTGACCATACCTCAGGGGTGGTTGTTATTTACCCTTTATTTTAAAATTCTTATTTCCTATTCTTCTTTTATATATTTAATAATTGTAGAAATTTAATAAAAATAACTCTTAATATTTTAAGGTTAGGTTTTTCGCAACAGTTTTCACAAACTTTTGAATTCTTAAAAATTTGATAGAAAACATCTTATTATTTATTGTTATATAAAAAAATCAATAATTAGATGGATGATAATATAAACCGACCGACCCATTTTTTACTCGACAAAGTCTGCTGCCAATCATTATCCAACCCACATTAGTCTGGCCGATAATTGACCCATAATTATCCGACCGACCCATGCACAACCCTACAAAAAAACTAGCCTACTGAAGCTCATTATCAAAGTTCGTTTAGGCTCGATTCAATAATTAGATGAAGCCCTATACGTACATAGAGAAGGCTTTTATCCTAAAAAATTCAAGCAATTAATACCCATCTCAATTATATGTTACAATTGTTTAAAATTAAATTGATCAAACTAATAAAAGAAAGTAGGCATTGCCCTTTTAGATTGATGATGAATGTCTATCTAAATTCTGCAAGTTGTTGAAGGTGAAGTTTGGCAGATGGCAGCTTCTAGGAAGCTTTCACTCTTCCTTACGTTAATTGTTTCCTCACTCTGAAAAAGCTATTTTGGACTTATAAGCAAATCCCTATTGGCAAACTTAATTATGTGACTTTAATTTACTAAATTCACTTAATTTCTATTTCGCAATATAAGTTAAACTATTTGCTTATATTACGATAGTTTCCATCGTTTCATCACTTATATATATAAGCACATATATATACGTAGATGTGTGATTATATGTAAATCTACAGTTAACGATCAGACCTGATTTTAATAACCGGGTGTCGTGCCTATTCCAAGATAATTTCTTTTTTTGCTATAAATAGTGAGAATCTTAAGGGTGCTAAGGAAAGTTTATCACAAGAGGAACAATTTATTTAGTTAGAGAAAGCAATGTAGTTTGATTTACATACACATCTAACTTGGTGTTGTGATCAAATTGTGACCACTAGGAAAGTGAAATAACGATTAATTAAAAAGAAAAAAAAAGCACTTATGATCAAACATTATGCTATGTCTCTGAAAGTTCGATTAATGGTTTGGTTCTAGTAACCACTATTAACCTCAAAATATATTATGAAGCTACATCTATGTGCACTGGATAAATTTACAATCTCGTATAATAGATTGTAAATTTCTCGTATAATAGATTGCAAATTGTACCGTGATAAATATGTATACTTAGTTTTGCAAATTGGTTTATTTGTTTAATTACTTATGTATATATTAAGCCTTTTCTTTTCTTTTCTCATAGGTGCATTTAATGTTGGGCTAAAAAAATGGAGCAATGAATCTTGGCATTTGCAACACATATTAAAAGAATAAAAATAGCGTTGTCTAAGGTAAATTGCCAGGCCGACCTTCGCTGTTTTTTTTTTCTTCAATTTTTTCATTTCATATTATTTGTTACTTTAAAATTTTATAATAGGTAAAAATAGTTTATAAGAACTTTGTACCTAAAAATTTATCAGCTGTTTAAAATAAATTTAGCCAAACAGGCCTCGGCCAAAAAAATATAAATAAGGCCGAATGTGATGGTTGGGTTAGGCAGAAGATGAAACCAGCAAATATGAAAAATGTGGCCCAATAAATGCCAATTGCCACAGTCATTATCATCTTTTCAGATTATCTTAAAAAAGCTAATTCTGAAACCTAAAACCATCATTATCACTAACCCTTTCCACAAATAGACCCATAATCCCCAATCCAAACAATCATTAACTAAACTATCTTCACTTAATCATACTTAATTAATTGCACCAAATATACCAATAAACATTAGCTGACAAGCTCATTTATTGCTTTCCGAAATAATTTGAGTGTCTTTTTTTTCTTTTTTCTTTTTTTTTTTTGTAAATGTAATATTTGCTTTTAATTTATATTAAAATGTTATATGAAAATACTTTTTAAAATATTTAAATTTTAATTTTTTGTATTTTTTATGATCAGAAGTTTGTAGCTCAATTTGTTAATATAAGGAATAAATTTTATAGGATTTTGAATAAAGTAATTTCTATTTATGTCCATGAATAACTTTTTTATAACTGCATATCGGGTGTAGGTGAGCCGGGATGCAGGGGAAAATAACTCGGAAGCCTTAAAGACACGAAACGCTGGACGCTCCGAGAAATGCTCACTCAAAGTCACTTCTTTTCAACTCCCGAGGTTTCTCTCTCCCCTCTCTCTCTCTCTCTCTCTCTCTCTCTCCTCTTATTCTCTCTCTAGAAGCAGCCATTGTACGCCAGTCAGTACTGTACTCACTCAACAACCTCCACTCTTGGAGGGAAGAAGATCCACTTCATTGTCCCCCCACACCCCACCCCCCTACCCCCACCCCCCCACACAAGTATACATACACCTCCCTGTATCTACACATTTCATGATCGTTGTTTTGCGGTGATTGGCCTCCGTCGGAGGAATTTGTTCTCGGCGTTGGGAGAATGGATCCACAAGGAGCGGCGATGATGAACGACGGAGGAGTTTACAACTTCGCCGAGATCTGGCCGGGGTTTCAGATGAATGCCGCGGCGGCGTCGTACGGTTTGGGCTTGGATCCGATGCTGGTCGACCAGAGATCGAATAACAGTCCGCCCAATCACAATTCGAGGAAGCGCCGCGACGAAGAAGACGACTGCGCCAAGGGCGGAGCGGCTTCTACCAGCAACAGCAACGGCAACAGCAACAACAATAATTTTATGGTCAGTCTAATTACTGCAAAATTTTCACTTCAATTGAATTTTTTCACAAGTTTGTAAATTATAATGGTTTCCCTACTGTATCCTCATAGTATGTTTATACTATTCATCAAAATTCATTGCATATTATGAACAAGTAATATTTGCCACCTTGGAATTTGGAAAGTTAATTTTTGTGTTAATTATATTAATATATTGGTATATCTGTTTTCGTATTTGTGTGTGTGTTTTAGGGTGTATAATCGGTGTGAGTTTATCCCTGATTGTATCTTCAATTAGCTTAAAGTTTCTTATATGGTAATTACTGTTGAAATGAAGCAAAATGAAGTTGATTACAAAAGGATGAAGTCTGTTGGATCCAATGGCAATTATGAAAATAAAGCAGAAGGGGAGGGTAATTCAGGAAAGGCAGGGGAGGCACCTGTGAAACCAGCTGAACCGCCGAAGCAAGACTTCATCCATGTCCGAGCGAGAAGAGGTCAAGCTACCGATAGTCACAGTTTAGCTGAAAGAGTAAATAACTAGACTCGAAGTTTCTTTTATTTATTTATGCATAAAAAATTTAGTCTATTGAGTATTGATGAATAATTTGTTAGATGATGAATATTTATTAAGTGATTGTTCTTGTTTCACCGTCTTGGTGCAGGCTCGGAGAGAAAAGATTAGCGAGAGGATGAAAATTCTTCAAGATTTAGTTCCTGGTTGTAATAAAGTGAGTATTACCTAACTTTTGCACTTTCACCGTATCATAAAGACATTTGTGCCGTTCCATTGCTATAAAAAGTAGTTGTTTTATTAGATGGAAATATGTCTATCAGCAATTAAGATTGGCTTGATCAGTTAGGCTTCTCATTTCTATTTGCCATGGAAAATTTTAAGATAAAACATGCACATGGCCTTGCCTTAATGTTTTCTGTTTTTATATTTTCTTGTGCAATGCACTTATTTATATGAAAAACCGCTCAGTTATTTTCTTGAAACTTTCGACTATGTTAGTTCACGCTGTATGATCTATTTCCCGCACTGGCTGGGTCAGATTTTGGATTATATGATGACAATATGTTTTTAATTGCATGAGCGGGATTAAAATCTTTGCACACTGCAAAAGACAGCCTGATGAAAATTCGAGTTTAGTGTTTTTTAAATCAATCAACAAAAAGCTGCTTTTATGTTCTATGGAGTGGCTGGCCAACTCGTATTATTAGGCTATTGATAGAGCTCTTGGAAGAGGGATGCCAACTTCAGAAAACCCGAGCATAAACTCTTATATAACCGCCCTTTCATCAGAATTAAAAAAAAAAGGCACATTATTTACTGTCTTAAGAATGTACGCAAAGGAAGCAGCACAATTTTCACAGTATTAATTGTTTCAGCTTGAGTTTTAAGTTCTCCAAGGCACAGTTTGGAGCTTCTTCAGACAGATCTCTATTCCTCAATCTGAATTTGAAGCATTGTCTTGTTCAGAACGTACATGTTTTAAGCCTGAGTGAAGAAACTGAGTTGGTTCAGAGTTTATTGCTGACTGCATATCTTCTTTATTTTACTTCTTACTACAATGGTTATGTAAATTTATTCGTTGATTTCTTGCCATCCCATTTTGCATGCACTTCTTTCTATCTTCTACTTTCTTGCTAGATACTCCTGATTTTTTATTTTTTTAAATAACAAAATTTTAAGAAGGCATTGTTTGCATGCAGGTTATTGGCAAAGCACTCGTGCTCGATGAGATTATTAATTATATCCAATCATTACAACGCCAGGTCGAGGTAGACCACTGAATCCCTCTTCCTCTCTTCTCCAACCCCCCCTCTCCCCCTCGTTCTTTGTGTTTGCGAATATGTGCTAATCACAGTTGACTTGTCTTACAGTTTCTGTCAATGAAGCTAGAAGCAGTCAATGCAAGAGTAGGCCTTGATGGATTTCCTTCAAAAGATGTAAGTGCTCCTAACACGACACCCAACTTTCTGAACGTGGGTTAACTTTTTCGCTACAGGAAATTTCAAGTAGAGCACATTTGTTCCTCATGCAGGGTGATATCATCAAAAGATGAACCGATGGAGAAAAAAAAATTAGGAATAAGCAATTGTAAACGTTTCATAATATGTGATAATACGGAGATGTTTGTCACTGCTTCACTAATATACACTATGGGTTCCTTCTGTGCAGTTTACTCAGCCAAATTTCGATTCTTCTAGCATGGCATTTGGTTCTCAGAGTACACGAGAATACGATCGGAATTCACCTCCAGACTGGCTACATATGCAAATTGGCGGTGGTTTCGAAAGAACATCGTGAGAAGATCGAATTCCCGTGAATTAATTAATACCACTATAAGATAACCGAATATCCGTGCTTCGTCCTCAAACGATCGAAGCAGTATACAATATTTCCATTTCGTCTATTGGATGCGGACGTGTTGATATCGAAGATCAAAACCAAATCCCACGCCCTGCGTAGAAAGTGGTCAAGTTCCACAGAAAGATTCATAGAATCAATTGATTTCTGAAATGCCTATTTAAAAAACATTCTTGTATTACGTATATGTTATTGCTATGAACAAAGTCATGGTTCATTGAATAAAATGTAAACTTTGTTGTTTTACTATTATCTTCATATATTTATTTACAGCAAAGAAATAATATTTAAAAAAAAAAAATATTAATTTCCTAAAATCAATTTATTTTACTTGATTTTTTAATTATCTATAGAACAATTTGCGGGGCCTCCTTGAAGTGTGGTTTCGTTGACGAACTGCATCTCAACCCAGCCGCACACGACGTACACGTGCGACCTCTCTTCGTACCAGGCGGCCAAACCCTCCCGGAGCATGCCGTCGTACTTCAATTTGAACCGGAGCGGCTTGCGCTGGGTCCGGCTCTCGATCAGAGCCGTCGGAACGAACGACGCCGGCACGGATACGGTGGTCCTGTTTATGCTGACGTGGAAGGTGATGTCGTCGGCGATGTCGATGAAGAAATCGCGCGTCCTCGTGACCCACAGCAGCTCGTGATCCAGGAAGATGGAGAGGACGGAGGTCTCGTGGTAGATGCTCCGGTCGCCGGGGTTGCTGACGTTGAAGACGGCGTCGCATTTACCGGTGACCTGGTCCGGCGAGGCCTGGAATTCGGAGATGGTTAGGGAATTTAGGGCGAATTGGTGCTGGAAATGCTGGTCGACGATCAGCTGGGTTTGCAGGTAGGGGAAGAAGGCGAACACCACCAGCATGATCGAGATGGTGGCTAGGGCGGTCATGAATATGCGGTCCCAGTCGATGACGTGGCATGCCGATTCGAATTGGTGGTGGAGGTCGGAGCAGAATATCCGGAACTCGGAGAGCGATTCTGGTTCCGCCGCGGCGGCGGCGGCGGCGTTGGGTGGTTGTTGTTGTTCGGTTTCGAATGTGGTTCTCAGCCTGTTGTAGCCGTCGGGCCGCCGGATGCGGGGCGAGCCGTTTTCTTCCATGGCAGATCAGGCAGACGAAAGAAGAATAATTGGTAGAAAAATGTCATGTGTTGAATCGCAGCTCCCATGGTACATTTTCCAGAGGAAAACGATTAGCTATGAGAATCACTCATTCATCTCTCTCTCTCTCTCTCTTCTTTCTCTCTCACACATACACACACAATCTCTCCATTATAATCACCCATCTAATTGTGTCTTTAAATGTGGAACATCCATTCATCAAATTCCCTTTCCTACTATATACGAAATAATTCAATCTGATTAGGGGTGTCAGTGAACCGAGCTTGTAGGGCTGCGAATGAGTCGAGCTCGGACCTAGTTCAGTTGTTTTGACAGGTTCGAGCTCGAATTTATCTAAGTATTTTTTTTTATTTTGCTCGAGCTTGAGTCCAAGTTCATTTTGATTTTTTTTCCTAAAATTATTTTTTATTATTAAAAATTAATTGTAATTATATATATTTTTAATTTTTATGTGTTTTTTTATATTATTATATTATTGAAATAAAAATAATATATAAAAAAATATAAATAAAATAAAAGGATGGCTCGTGAGTTCACGAACAACTTAAAAGAGCTCGAGCTCGCGAACTCAAGCTCGAGTTTGAGTTCGAACTTTTTTCAAGTCGGCTCGGCTCGTTAACGACCCCTACACGTGACGAACAACTTCAAATATATTCATTAAGTTCTAAGTTAAAAAAAAAAAAGGAAAAAGGAAAAGAAAAACCATGTGTCCAAAATAATTTGGGCCCATTTTATATTGGAGTATCTGTAACTGGGCTCTATATTCGAGACTGTATACTGGATTAGCCCAAGGAAAGTCTTGCAGTCAAAAAAATAATAAAATAATAAACCTTTGTATACAGGGGTATTTTGAAAATATTATAATTTACAAGGAGTAATGTGCAATAATCCCGCACTCTTCACATTATTTTAAGGAATATATATGTAATATGTGTGAGCCACAAACAGTAGAAGTGCATTTCCATTTCATTTCATTTCATTTGGAGTTCATTTGAGTTTTATTTCGTTTCCATCATTTGTTATCAGTCCTACACACAACACAAACGATAACCAAATCTATGCACACATACAACACACAGACGCTCACATAGTCACATATATACATCCGCCTCTTCTGTATCTATCTATATGTAATCAACACTAATGTTTAAAAAAAAATATTTTCTCAACCATTTCTGAATTTAGATTCTCTCTGAAATGGAATCGGATCTTACAAATAGAAAATCATGAAAAAGTACACCAATTTTTTTTTCTAATTTTTACTGATTTTTTTTTTCTCTCTCTCTCTCCGAAATCTAGATCTCAGGTGATCGGCCGGCAAATCAATTTCCTTCTTTGGCGTATTTAATTTTTGAATCTCCGGTTCGAACTTCGGATCGAGGTGCTGAAAAATTCAACAGCTGAAAAGAGTAAAAGGGGGTTTTTGTGTTGTTTTTTGTTCTTAATTAAAAAAATGCCGGGACATGGGGATTTGGATAGGCAATTAGAGCAATTGATGGAGTGCAAGCCGCTATCAGAGGCGGAGGTGAAGATTTTGTGCGATCAAGCGCGGGCGATTTTGGTGGAGGAATGGAACGTGCAGCCGGTGAAATGCCCTGTTACTGTGTGCGGCGATATCCATGGCCAGTTCTACGATCTGATCGAGCTTTTCCGGATTGGTGGCAATACTCCGGACACGAATTACCTCTTCATGGGTGACTACGTTGGTGAGTTTTTTTTGTTGTTTTTGCTTACCTTTTTTTGGTGAATTAATTGAGGAAAGCTGTTTGCTGATCTGTATGTAGGTTGGATATGTATGAATTTAATGTTAGGTGTGTTCAAGATAGTCCTGTGAGTTGGATAAAAACATGGTTTTGCTCTTGATTAAGGGTTGAGTTTGGTGGTTATGGAGGGTAATATTGGAAATTAAAGAAGTGTTTTGAATGTGAGGTATGTTTAATTTAATCTACTAAAGATATAACCTTGTGATGTCTGACTTTTGTTTTGAATATCTATTTTCCTAAATCTTGAAATTAAAACAAAAATTGCCAACAGGAACTGGTTCTTTTGCTAATTGTTTAATTTGATTCATCCAATGATGCAATTATTAGCTTACTGTTTAGTTCGTCTTTATACTAAATATTGGATATTAGTTATTAAGTTTTCAGTAATGCTGACGAACTAAATAGAGCTTTAAAATTGACAATGGGGACTGATTTCGCCTATGTGTTTATTTCTCTTAGCAATCGGTGAAGTTAGTGGGTACGATAGAGGAAATGGTTCAAAAATTATTGGGAATAGTTTTAGTTTGAGCTAATGAGTTTATATGATATTGATGTTGAAATATTTTGGTTTAGATGGAAAAAGGGCAAAAGAAGAATGATTGCGTATGCTTTCAATTTTTGTGAAAAGAGTTTGAATGCTACGTGTTCAACAGTATTCGGTGAAGAAAAAAAGTAATTTGTGCATGCACATAAAGAGAGAGGCTTTTCTATTGGTTCGGGTTCATATCATTCCTTATAAGCCACATGAAGCTTCAGTATTGGTGTTTCCTAGCGAAAACACGGGATTGTGTTTTTCAAATAACCAATTGCATTAAGCCATGTGCTTTTAAGCAGGACGTAAGTTTGTGTTAATGTGCTGTCTTTATTGAGTCTAATTTAAAAAAAAAATGGGTTGGATAAATCCCTCCGTTTTAGCTAAATATATTAATAGTTTTTTAGCTTTGTTATGATAGTAGACCACAACATTTGAAGTCTACGATGACATTTTACTAACTAAGTATTCGGTTAATGCAGATCGTGGGTACTACTCAGTGGAGACTGTCTCACTCTTAGTGGCTCTGAAAGTCCGTTATAGAGACAGAATCACAATCCTTAGAGGAAATCATGAAAGCCGACAAATCACTCAAGTGTAAGACATCTGCCTTCTCTGATGTGGTGTGCTTGTGTTCAAGGCTCTAGGCATAAAGGTGACCTAGAGCCTTGGGCCCATGACACGCGCCTTTTCAAAATTAGGCGCATTATAGCATTTTGTTCCCTATATAATTCTCAATGCCCATCTCACAAAAAATAGAAAAAAAATCAACACACAATTTCAACAACTTATAGATGTACAAATAGACAGGATGGGGGGAATTGACACAAGGACAAAAAACAAGAAAGAGGGGAAGCATGGGTTGGGATTGGCCTGTAGTGTAGGGAAACGAAGAAAAGATAATGCATAGGAAAAAAAAAGAAACAAAAAGAAAGATAATAAAAACATGCATTTAAGACTGGGGTCCGAAAGAAAAGGCGGAAAACAAGGGAAAGAAAAATTTACTCCCAGGTTTCTATGTTTGACGCTCTGAGTTTAATTATTTTTTCGGCCTTCAATAGCTGCATGGCACGTGCCACAA